AATAGACTTCACTAATCAAACTCTACAAAGTGTGGCTGCAGAGCAGAAGCATCTCTCATGGCACACAAAATGGGGGCCCTGAATGGATAATATACTACTTTGGCTGCTCCCCTTGATCCATCACTGTGCAGACTACAAACCAGAGCCTAGTTGTTCAAAGGTCCGATAAAACAGTCCCTACATAAATCTCTATCAAGTGGGTGAGTGTTGGCAAAACAAACTGGACAGCGATTTTGTGATTTATCTGGCCTATAAAATTATCCAACCTTTGAACAACTGAAGCCAGCATGCTATTGGTGGAAAACCCAACACTTACCACCTCAACTTGGTTCAGACAAACTACAATAAGAAGTCTGTGTTGGGTGGCATCACCACAACTACAAGACACTAAAGAAGTTATGGTATAACCATTGGGAAATTGCTTGCTTATCTCTGATAACAATACATAATCATACCTTGATCTGGAAAAATGTTCTACTTGAATGTCCACAGAGATTTATAAAGAATGCAAGGTAAAGGTGGTAAGAATCAATCTCCAGCATTTGTTTAGCACTTCTGCTTTGATGGATCAGTAATATTTCTTTTTCATTTGATGCTGCAATAGTGGCATTAAGAAATGCCCAAACATTGGTGAACAAGCTATGATAATTTTCTTGGCATTGCAAGTTACCATGGCAACAGCAAAACGTTTAAGAAATACACGCAGTTATTAATATAACTCGAAAATGAGTTTGGTGACAACCATTTTTTATTACCCAATATTGTAATCAGCACATCAAGATTCAACTTTTCATAAAGTTTACTAAAATATGGGGGTAAGTTCAGAGCCATCTTAAGTTCCGTATGTACAATTTTTTGAAACTTGGCAAAAAAATTGTATTTTAACATGCTTATTGTAATATTTGAATAAAGATAGGGGTCATTAGACTCATTTTTGAGTTGTAAGCACTTAACGCTAAAATTAAGATGATTTTAAATGGGTTATAATGTTGGTATGGTAACCATTTTGCATCACAAAAATGACTCAAATTTGTTTCCCAATGAATGGGCATTTGTTTGATATCACTTTTAACAGGCATTAAGTGAAAAAGAGTTGAAGTACTGATCCAACCGTTGTGAGCTGCTTTAAGGGTTTGGATTTCCATCTTTAAAAAGTCAACATCTTTCAAACACTTTGTACAAGTCAGGCAAGTTTGCTATCTGAAGCAGAGTTCCATCCTCAGAGAAGCGACCAGGAGGCACAAGTCCAGTGCGAAAAGCAGGAAACAAAACATGCTCCACTGTCCACTGCCACGAGCGACTTGATGATGATGATGACTTAACAACGTTTGCCTCCTCACTGTCGTCTTTAGGTTCGTTGTCATTATTTTGAAAAGGATCTGGTTTTAATGCATAAAACCTGCTGCATTCCTGTGCAAAGGTCTGGAAACATCCCTCTTCAGTTTCCCAATCTACCTAGATAGTGGACAATTTTAAATCAATTGACCCACAATTGACATCTCAATTGACACTCATTGGACATCTCGATTGATACTCAGTCAACATTTGATCAACACTCAATTGACATTGGATCGACACTCGATTGACACTCGATCAACAGTTGGTCAATAGTCAGCTCAGTGTCAACTGACTTGTATGCATCATTCGAAAAAAAGCTGACTCTCGACTGACTGCCGACCAAGATGTCTGTCAAGAGTCAATCGATTGTCGAGCGAGTGTCAACTGAGGTGTCGATGGAGTTTTGATCGAGTATTAATTGAGTGTCAATTGAGGGTCAAACATGGGTATCCATCGAGGGTATCGATCCAGCTGCTGATTGACACTCGACCGTGGATGCCTTTAGAACATAATTATGATCCTCAGAGACTCTGGATTTAATTTTCAAATTTCTCACACTTGTGGCATACCCAGCTTATTAAAATCTCCTTTATTTTGTCAAGCGTCATGATATACCCTCTCAATATACTCATTTCTGTCATCAAACAGCGATACACACTACTCAGAAAAAAGTCTGGAGTTAAACCTATTACATTATTTACACAAGTTGTATGCCATGTTTACTGAGGTACAGGAGGCCATATATCAAGTCAGATGCATTTTTTTCACAGCATCTTATGTCGTTGATTTAACTCTTAGCTCTCTCTCAACACTCACTTTGATTCTGCTCCAACTGATGTTACATTCATTTGGTGACTAGTTTGTCGCAGTTTTATTCATTTGAAAGCCACTCAACAAACTGTTAGGCAAGAAGCAATTAATATGCAAAGTGTTTACTGATAGCTTACCTCTGTTGCAAGACGAAGAATAAACATTGGCAGCCCATTGAGATTTGGTACATAGCCATCCAGCAGAAGTGGCAATGTCAGCAAATTACCCTCACTATCAATTTCTAATGAAAAATAATCCAGCAACATGGCTCTCTTCTCCTTTAATAACTTAACAATGTAAGTTGCCAGTTCATCTTTAGGCCCATCTCCTTCCGTCCAACCACTCTCCTCACAATCTAAAGCCAACTGTGCAAGATCATAAATAGGCGCTGGTTCTGACAGCCTTAGAAAATCAAAGTTGCCAAATTTGAAGAGGATGATCTGATAAAAGAGTTCTTTGCTGAGGGTTGTGATGTTGGCAAGGAACAGTTTTGTGCTGTGTTGGACAAGAGCCAGTGACTTGTTGACACAGCCAACAAATTTGTGATCCTCAAACAGCTCTTTCATCCCTTTATGCTCAGAATTGTCTATAGCTTTCCGCAGATTCAAAACACTGGTCAAACGAATTTCTCTGTAAATGTTTGAGTTGCTTGTGTTTCTTGTTGTGCTTTCAGCCTTTTCTGCCAACCTTGGCTTCTTTGAACCTGAAAATAAATCAATCAAAATATGAAATACTGTGTAATACTCTAGACTTACTCTTACCATTAATTCTCTTGAAAGATGGAAAACCCCTTGATGTTTTGTTGTTTTGCCCAAATTTTCTTTTCATTTCAAGTGTATTGCAGCTTGAATATATCATGTACAACAAAATAACCTTTTTTGTCTAATCACAAAAAATAACAGTAAGTATTGATCATCTAGTACATGTAAGCAATTACTTTGATGTGTACATCCATGCTATAAACAATGAAATATTGGGTCTTGATGTCTATTTGCAATTGTTTTCTATGGCAATTCAAATGAAGAATTCATTTCTTACCTAAAAGCACAACATTCTCATAACTAACTATCAAACAATATGGCCAAGTGATGATTAGGAGTAAACTAACAAGATACTGGAAAGAAAGAGGAAATACCCACTACTTGCTATTTTCATGTTAATAATTAATTCTTACATTATATGATAATAAAATTATTATAATCCCTACATTTTGTTCCAAGGAGACATGATATTTGCCGACACATGTAACTCTTCTTATAAGTAGTTTTTTTGAAAAACATTTCAGAGTAAAAACTAGCAGTAAAAAACGATGTTTCGATCTCTCTGAGATCATTTTCAAGTTGAAGAAAAAACGAATGAAATAATGGGCCCTTAAAATAATAAAATACTGTTAAAAAAAACCTACATAAATAACTTTGCACGGATTGAATCTGACTGTTTGTTCAAGGTTGGCTTAAGCTCCTTTATAAAGAGCATTTTGTAGATCAGGCAGTCGAATTTACTTTGGCACTTTCTCAAGATCTTAAAATCATGATATATGTCACTTGGGACTATTCCATGCTGCTCTTTGATGTGATTCCGGATTGAAGACGATCCTTTGTGTTCCTCAACACATTGATAGAGGTGTCGGAACGTGTACCCGACATAGTTTCCATTCCCAGGAAAGGAAGTTTACTGTGTTCGCCAAGTTCCATGCTTCAGCTTTTTCGGTGTCAGGCATTATGCTCAATGTGTCATCCACATAGCGTGNGAGAGAATCCACGAAATTAAAAACATCACTGATGGTGTGGTCATTGACTGATAGAGGTTTGAGCTTTTTGTCAAGCCATTTTGCCAACTGGTAATTATAATTATGTCCCGGTTGCCGAGAGTATCAGCTGCATTGCTAGTTGTCGCTTGTGGGTTTTTGGCAAGCCATAAAGATGGGCTAGTCTCGAGCCATTCTGGACAACTGTGCCAGCAACTGCCTTGAGCAATATTCTTTCTACAGTGGCAGTTAACTCCTTTTCTTTCTACAAAAGCGGATGGAAATGCTTGAGTGGTCTTCCTCTCACTTTGGGTCTTTCAGCACACACTGGTCTAAACTTGGCTTCGTTGTTTATTGATGACTCTTTCAGTAGGCGCACATAATCTGACTTGTCCATGACAACCACACCTGATCCCTTATCCAGCTTCGTAATAACAATTTCATTCTTCTTTTTCAATTGGCCAATTGCTCTTAGCATTGCTCTTGGTGGTGCGGGGGTCTTTCGATCAATGTAATTCAAAGCAATCGAACGTAATGATGTAGCTGCCAATTCTTTATTTCTTCGCTCAACCCCGGTTCTAATTTCCAGAAAGCCTTTTCAAAAGCAGCTTTGATTTCCTTGGATGACACTCGCTGTGGAAGAGCAAAGTCAAGACCGCGACTTAGTGCCAATTTTTGGAAGAAGGAAAGCTTGTAGGATGAAATGTTCTTAATATGTTCATCGATATCAGTATCATGTTTGTACAGGAGCCTCGAAATCTTCTTGGTGTGGCCATTCATTGATTGTCGGTACTGTTCCTTACGTAGAGTGACGATCGTTTTTAGGATGTCAGATGTCAAACAGTCAGACTCAATTCATGCAAAGTTATTTATATAGGTTTTTTTATAGTATTTTATTATTTTAACCCTTACATTTTAGAGCTTGTATTTACATATTTTATCGTTTGACATTCTCACGCCCTAATTTGTACTTATATATGTATATTTCATTCGTTTTTTCTTCAACTTGAAAATGATCTCAGAGAGATCGAAACATCGTTTTTTACCGCTAGTTTTTATTTTGACATGTAACTCTTGCCCAGAAAAGCCTTAGATATCACTACTTTATTAGTTTATACATGTTAGTACCTGATGGCTGGTCAGAGAAGTCCTCGTCTTCAGTGCCAGATGACTTCTGTGAGTGGGAGGCTAACTTTTTCCCTTCAGCAGGGTTGACAATGGTTGAAGAGGGATGCTCAGGGACAGTAAGTTCCCTGGGGGTTGTATTGCTGACCTCTAGTTTATTGGTACTACGGGATAGCTGCGACACACTAAAAAAATAACAGATACGCAATATTACAGATATTTGTTATAAAGCTTAAGTTACTTTATTGTGACAACCACTAAACTTCAGTAAAGTCTTATTCTGTTGCATTTTTGCACTTTCTGGACTATTTATCAATGATGTAATGGGAAAATAATGTAAACAAAGTTGACGTATGTATTATATTGCACGTAGATCTATATTGTAGCCTGATCATGATTTCTGTAAGTAGTGTTGGCTGACACTGTCAACTGACTGTACTGGTCAATTCTAAGTGCATTGTTTGACCAACATTCGATCGATATTTGGCTCCTACTGTATATTGTCTGATTATGCTGGTCAAGTGTTGGTCAGGTATCATCAAATGTCAGTCAAACGTTCTCAACTGACACTGGACCAATATCTTACTCTTTGAGGATTTATATATGAAGAAGCTAGTCATAAAAGGGGATAAGTGACGATTTTGGTTGCTTTTCTTTTTTCTTGCTCCAAATTAGCTGAATTTTTGCATGTGGTCTTC